CAATGTCGCAAACGGAGACACGTGGTTTGCACTCGAAGGAGTACTTGCAAAAACCACCGAAGGCTCCACTAAGTTTCAGAGGCACTTAGGTGCCTGTAGATACATCCGTTTTACAAGAAAAGATGCTCGCTGATGAGCCGTGCATTCGAGTGAACTTACCTCGCAAAAACGTTTCATCACCCGAATGCCACTAACTGTCTCAGGTTTTTAATGAAGAGTTTCCAATTCACGCTACGATCTAAGTGAAGAATTACTCCAAGGCGAACCCTCAGAAATTAAAAAGTCAAATTCATCTTTTAAAGGGTTAGGTTCTTTTTAATAAACAACGTCCAATTAAAAATTGATTTTTGAGCTCTCTTAATGCAAGATTCCGGGTATCTTAAAGTTGAAATATGACCCGGCCTCTGCCCACGCGCCCTTCTTAGATTACAACTTGCAATCTGTTAAAATTATAAATTTCTCAAGTTTTGCCATTTTGTCGGTTATATCGGAAAATTAAAAACTTGAAAAGTAAATTAAAATTGAAAAATTTTCAGCATAAGAGAAATAACCTGTTTAACGGGAATTTCGTAGGGGGAAACCAATTAATCGAGGATATAGGTGGACAATTTAAAGGATGTTTATTATTTCCAAAAGAATCGTTTTCCCGTAAATTTGACTGCGCTTTTTGTGTCGTAATGCCAAATTTTGCCGTTTTCATTTCAATGATTTCGCGATTGACATCTGAATTTTTATCAATTTATTAAGAAAATGAAGGGAGACTTTTCGGTATGACGTTCATCGCGGTAGATCCTGTGTTTAATCATATTTAATACAACTGAACTTTAAACTTGTAATTTTAAACTTAAAAAATCCACTCCTAAAACTACGCAACAAATAGCTTCTCTCAGGGTGTCATATTTTGAGCGCAATGTTCCTTTCCTTCCTTTCGGAATTTCAGAAACATTTCCAATCCTAAAATAGGAAAAAAGAGAATCTTTGAAGGATACAACAATGGTTAATACTAGAGCAGGATTTTTATTGCTCTCACATTGGCAGCACATTAAACAGTGGACACATCAGTGAATCATTCGCCCGAGAAGCACAGGCAGGCAAAGTATTATGCATGCATGTCCGATCCGTATCCGAGCGAAAAGAAGGCGTATCAAAGGTGCTGCGGTTACGTTACGGTCGAAGATTTCCTGTTGTATTACTTGCTCGAAGGTTGACTAATATCAAAGATGAAAGTGGAGCGATCCTATTGGCGGAACCGGCTGGTTGCGATGGACAACAGAACTACGAGTAATACCGTATACTTTAGTCCATCATTTTCCCCCTTAGACTATGTACGTATAATTACCTCTTGTTTCAACCAATAGGATCGCTCCATTTACCCTTCATCTCCTTTGTCTATTGCTTTGTCTATCAAAATCGATAATCAGCCCACTTGTCTTGAACCCTCGCTCCAATAGAGAGACTTCGTAAGTCTAGCTCAAACTCCTTTCCCCCTTAGGTAGCTTACCTTGTATTGGAATGGCTTTTATTATGCGTATATTTTATCACATTACAGGTCTTTATGCATAACTTCATCAAAAATAAGGGAAGGACGTGGAACTTGAAACGTCGCAACTTATGTTCTTCGTGTCATTCCGTTTCCTTTGTCCATTTTCGTTCATTATATGCGTTTAATCATGCGTAGTTATGACACGAAATGGTAGCTTTTATCTTTAACAAATCATTGACCGTAAAATGTCCCAGCGTCATCGATCCCCAAAAATAGGGTAGGTCACCAAAGCTTGACCGCACGGGCCGTATATAAGCACTCCTCGCCCTTACCGTATATGCGTGGGTTGCCACCCCTCCCTCCTCCTTTCAATATCATAAACGAAGGTTGTCAGGTTGTGCTATTAAATTGAGATATTTCGCGTGGGTCTAATTGGGGAATAGTTCAGATTTTTAACAAAACCCGGCAACAATGTCGTGAACGCTCTGAGATTTTTGCAAGAACATGGTATTTGCTTCGGCCATTTCGCTCTCTTCTTTTTTTTTCTTTATCATACGCCTTCGTGGAGTTCTCGATTGTAGCACATACCCTTTTTGAGTTCATTTACAGGGTGATACCAAAATTCCGCGTCGTCGACACCTTCTGTAACTTTTGAATAAATTAAGGAGACTTTAAATTTTTGAGTGCTCCCACGTCAAAGGAAACCCCCCCTCAAACCCCCTCAAAATACCCCCCCCTAATATGGGTTTTGGGACCCTTCAAAATTTTAGGAGGTCTTCCTAAAAAAGAGCATGAAGCCTGAAGTTTATAAAGTTGGCGCGTTTTTGGAATTTTAGACCACCCTGTATATTGAACGGCGAAAGGTTCATCTGTGTTTCGATTCGTGACTTTGCGAATTTCACTTCAAAGTATCTCGATAGAAAACTACGGATAACGAACAAATTTTTTAAAACTTACATGGATTTTTTTTTTCATTTTTAGTGGAATATTTTTTGAAACTTCAAAACAACAGCATTGATTTGTTATATTCTTTGAGAAGCAAGCCAATAAATAACAGCGGAAATTAAAGTGGATTTCGTCGAATTCAGTCGATTGACGGTTCCACTTTTTTCTGTTCTGTCAGG